TGCTACTCTATATGTCTGGCACAAGAATACCTCTCACATGTCTGAAGCTCTCGACGCCTTCAAACTGTAGCTGAAATTCGTAGAGCGATAGGGCAGCAACAAGCTGAAAGAGATCCAGACAGACCACGAGGGCGAGTACACTAGCGAGCAGTTCGATGAATTCCTGGCGTGGAAAGGGATATTCAGGTGCAAGACTGTGCCTTACGCCCATCAACAGAATGGAGAAGTTGAGAAAACTAACAGGATGCTGCAAGAGAAGATGCGCGTACTGCTGTAACAGTCCAGCTTGACAGCAGACTTCTGGCCGTTTGCGATGGCGCAAGCTGTCCGCCTACACAACTGCTTGTCTTTGACAGCTCTTCCTTAGTTTAGCTCGCCACACGTCATGTGGACAAAACACCTCGCCGACACGTGACTGTTACGAGTGAATGGTACAATACATACCTCCGAGCGCAACTGTGGGCAGGTTTACTGAACGGGCACGATATGGAATACATCTCGATGTACCTAAAGATTCCTAGTCTTGGGTATTTATGGATTACGAAACCTGAAAGATTTTGTATGCCCGAGACTGCACCTTTTACAAGAAATCTTTTCTCGATGAGTTTGAACGCGATAAGGAACACCAGCAACGGGATCCTATTCGCTACAGTGCCGAACGGAGTTTCGCCACTCCTTAAGACGAAGCAGATGCAGCCGAAGAATATTATCCACCCGACAGCGCAACAGCAGGACCTTCTACAGTTCCGCAGCAGTCTACGTCAGCAGCCAAACCACTGTTCGACTCTAATATTCCTTTGACACGTACTAACAACACCAAAACACCGCTCTTCACTCCCCTCTCAGACCCGTTGCATCATGCCACGACACATGCTGCCTATAATTATAAGGAGCACCTGCGCCGACAGAAAACTAACACAGCATCGCATGACGGTGCCCGCCATCTGCCATCTGAAATTGATGATGATGACGTCGTCGAAGTTTGCCAACCTCATCCTCGTAGTAACCAATCGACTCTTCAGATCGTCGGACTTGCTATCGTAGTTTAGCAACCAACGACCAGGATCGAGCCGAAAGCAGTCAAGCATGCCCTCTCCGGTTCTGATGCTGACAAGTGGCAAGCAGCTATGGATGCAGAGATAGCAGCTCTCGAGAAGCGGAAAACGTGGAAACTCGTTCCATTTGAAGCATCACGCGGCAAGAAATTTCTTTCGGGCAAATGGGTCTTTCGTATAAAGACAAATGCAGCAGGCGAACCAGACAGATCAAGGGGAGATGGGTCGTTTGAGGTTTCGAACAAACCCACGCCATCGATTACGACCATACTTTCGCTCTGGTCAGCCGTCATACCTCATTTCAAATTCTTCTTGCCATTGGTGCCAGCCGCCACCTTCCAATTCGCCAAATTGACGTTAAAAATGCATTTTTATGCGCAGACGTCGATGCAGATATTTTCGTCGAACTCCCTCACACTTATGACGATGGACTTCACATCTGCAAGTTACTCAAATCACTATACGGCATCAAACAGGCTCCTCACCTGTGGCAGCAGCATCTTCACAAAGTGTTGATTTTATTTGACTTCGTGCAGCTGCCCCACGATCCTGGAATGTACAAACTCGAGTTTCGGGGGAATTACATTATTCTAGTCGCCTACGTGGGCGACTTACTGTACACCGGCTCGTGCAACAGTCTTTTGACGCGCACGGAGAAAAGAATCCAAACGATTATTGAAGTGAATATTTCTCCAAACGTCTCCCAATTTCTTGGGTTAAACGTCGACTGCGGCCCCGTGCCATCTACCTTTCTGCAAGCAAGTACACAGAAACACTTGCGATAAAGTTCGTTATCGCTCCTATCTGCCTCACCACTCCATTTCGTCGCATTTCGACCGATCACATACCTGATACTACCCCACTTACCGCCTCTGAGCATCAGCTTCACCAGCAGTAGCTCGGGTGTCTTCTATTTGCAACCATTACATGCTGCCCAGATCTTGCCTACATGACAAGTCAGCTTGCAAAGTATCTGCGCTGACCTGAAGGGGAGAATATGGCCGATCTTTGTCGAGCCCTCCAATATTTCATTTCTACTCCTACAATCGGCATCAGCTATACGGCGAACACTGCAGCAAAATTTCGACTGACTGGATATGTTGATGCGGATCACGCTGCTGACCCCGACAACAGGCGTTCGCGTACAGGGTTCATTTTCAAACTTGAACCGAGTGGTGTCATTTCTTGGAACTCAACGAAACAGGAAGCTGAATTTCGTCAGCCGAAGCAGAATTCATCGCAGCAAGCTCTGCAGTTCGCGAAGGACTCTATCTTCAAGAGTTACTTTAAGAGCCAAAAATCGCAACCCGTAACTTCAAGTAACTCTGCGACAACCAGAGCGCAATCAAGATTGCAAACAAGCTCGGCTTCGTCTACACGACAAAACACATCACCTTCCGTTACTTCTTCGGCAAGGACGAAATCGACAAAGGGAAGGTCATCCTGAAATACTGCCCTACAGAAGAAATCGCAGCTGATTTTCTGACGAAGAAACTGTTAAATTATATATTTGATATATAATTGGTAGGCTTGGTAGGTGTTTCTAAAACCAACTGTAGAGGGTACAACCCCTCTCCTTGTATCCCTCTCTCTTCTATTCTTGACCCATTTCTTTCATAACTTTCTCCTAGCCTAAAACCTCTCGCCTTCCATGGCTTCCTAGTTTCCTTAGTTCAACATGGTAACAGAGCAGGCTGCCCTTCCCGGGCTTGCTCCCCACGCTTCCGCCACGTACTCGTACTTCAGTCGTCAATTCCGCTACTTTCGTGCAGCTGTCGCGGCCATGCTGCGCTGAAGTGACGACGTCGTGGTTTTGCCATCGCAGCCTTGACGCGTGGCATCGACGCCACATCGCGGCGACGGCGTCGTGCTGCCGTCGCAGCATCGATGTACCGCCGCGGCATCGATGCCGCGCTGTGGAAGCGGCGTTATGCTGCAGTGGCGACGTCGACGTGCGGCAGCGGGCGGCGTGACGTCTTAGGTTCCGCCGGTCCTGACGCCCGCACGCCAGCCACGGGCGTGTTGCAGGAGCCCCGCCCCTCTTCCCTGCGTCCCCTCTTCCTCGCCGCAGCCGATGGCTAACTTCCGCTGGCCGTCCCACTGTCGTAGAGCCCGGCCACGCCGCCGAGTGCTGCGAGCCCCGCCGCTGCCGCTGTTGTCGAAGCCGCCGCCGCCGCCGCTCTCGCCGCTTGTGTTGGGGCCACGCCGCCGCACGCCGCCGCCGCTGCCGCTGTCGACGCTGCCGCCGCTGCCGCTGTCGCCGCCGCAGCCCTTGCTGTCGACGTCGCCGCCTCACGCGCCGAGGGGTTGACCGGGCTGGTGTAGCCTCGCTGCTACTGAGTATGGGGGTGCTAGATTTAGGGGGTGTGTGTGGCTTAGTGTCCCGTGCGTGGTGTGCTTTCGGCTACCAAGCCTAGGGGGTGTGTTAAATTATATATTTGATGTATAATTGGTAGGCTTGGTAGGTGTTACTGAAACCTATTGTAAAGGGTACAACCCCCCTCCTTGTATCCCTTTTATTTTTAATTCTCAACCTCTTTTCTTTCGTAACTTTCTCCTGGCCTAAAACCTCTCGCCTTCCATGGCTTCCTAGTTCCCTTAGTTCAACAGAAACTTCCACGCGGCAATTTGAAATACTGCTCCAACCTGGTTGGAATCTGCAAACGCGGCGACACTTACCCAGATACATGTACTCATGAATAAAGGGGAGTGTTGAAGTATACTCGACAGAGTTTATTTATGCATTCCTGATATAACACTTAGACTGTAATAGTAACTCGATACCTTTTATTGAAGAACACGCGTTATGATGCCAGCAGTAGCAAGTCAACGCGTGATCAGTTGGTTTGCGCATATAGTCACTCGAAGAGTCTTGCCATTCTCAGTAACACGAACAGTCATGTCACTAGTCATGTCACGCGAATAGTCGCGTTACACTACGAACAGATACATTCCGAATAGGTACTTCATAGAGTATAAACATGCATGTATTACTCATTATTATTATCATTGTCATTTCGGACATTTCCAATACAAGGTGTAAAGTCTTCCGCTGACTTTTACACGTGGTTCCACCAACTCTAGATCCTGGTCAACCTAAACAAGTGGTTCAACTTTACACTATCAATAAAATATGAGGCTCAAGGCGAAGTTATGAATATAAATTGTTCTCTAATATAATTTGTTTGTTGGTATCATTCCATATATCTGAAAGGACCACATTGACACGATATGATGGAATTTCGGAACTTCTACACCCCTGGATACCCTATGGCTCCTAAACTCCCTTCCACCAGACTTCTGTCGGTGGCGTTGTTCACCAAGGAGACCCGCACGATCCCGCATCGGCGCGCGGTGATAGGCCAAGGAGGGACGTGTCGCTCGCTGGTGTCACATGCGAATGACAGCCGCATTCTGAGGCGCGGGAAGGGGAGCAGCCCAAACCGTATCCCCGAAGGGGGACAAGTCACGGCTGTTATTCAGGGCCACCAGCTAAGGAAGTAACTGGCGCGGTTCCCTCGACGCGCAGATTCTCCTGCGAAAGTTACAACCATCCAAGCATGACATCTGGCACGAGATGATTGGATAACAACGCTCTGAACAATCGAGGGCGAGCTGCCTCATGTTATCGCAGAAGTTGTGCACCTATGGCGACAGGAGCGACTCGCAGGCTGACACAGTCAGCGATTGCTGATCGAATCGCCAGGGTTGCCTGACCGTCTATTACCGGTGCAATTTCAATGCCGTCAGGATTTCCGATTGCTTTCAAACTCATCGTCAACCTGAATCCCATCGCCTGGGGTCACACAACCTTGGGATCCCCACGAGCATGCCTTACATGGCGCGACTCCCTTGGACTCAATTTCCGAACCTAGTTTTCTGACGAACAGTGGCAGGCAGACCTAGAAATTAGATGGTGAGATTTGGTGAGGAGAATACAGGCTCGGTTTGGCTCGTCTGCTTCCTGAGTCTAGTTTGCCTTGTGTGCTGCCAAAGCAGAGAAGCTTGGGCTTGGTGGAAGCATTTACCTCTGTGGTCAGAACACCTCCTCGGTGTTTGAGAAAGGCTACTTCAACTTCCGCTGTTTCAGTGCTGGAGGCCTCGGAGGCTCCAGTTGCAGAATCCATTGCAGCCGCTCTTGGTGCTGCTCCAAGTCATTGCTCGTTACATAGCTCTTGGTTTCGTTGTCGTTGTTGCACAAGGTGCTGCCATTTCCACTTTCTGCTACGAATCGGTTTTCCAGCCACACATTTGACAAGATGCGTATTTACAGCAAAGATCGAGTTCCTCGCTCGCTCGAGCTGTGACAGACTTCTACACCCCTTGCGTAGGATTAGCGTGTGAATATTCAACAGCCGCAGTTACTCTTCTAGCGAAGCAAACGTTTAGAAACAGCCCCAAGTAGCGTCCCTCCACATCTCGTATCAACTTTCATAAATCATGGTGAGTGGGTTATCGGGGATCAACTCCCGTCAACCTGTTGACTACTATCTTCTGCCTTCGCCATGAGCTTCGGGTGCCTTGAAACCCGGTATCTCCTGGTAGTCAGAGACCTTTGTTTGCAGCCGACTCAAGTCAAAGTCCTTCTAGAGTCTGGCCATCCTCTCCTGTTTTGGAACGTTCCGAAGATTTCCTTTTTCATTTCTTGTCATTGCTACGTTCCCCTGACCCATCCTTCTCCAGGCCCCGTCTAGCGTGGTTGTGGTGGGATCCAAAGTGTGGGTGGAAGATGTGGAAGAAGCGTGGATTGACGCAGAAGTAATAGCCGTCGAGAAGAAGAAGGTCACAGTCAACGTGCGAGGAAAGGAGGTACGTCTCAGCCGACGCTGGTTTCAGTGACAGATTTTTGTGTATGTAACCACTCGTGGTCCCAAGGAAACGTACGCCATGGATGGCAGATGACGAAACTACAATGTTTGCACAAAAAGACTAACAAAAGAGCAAGTGTCTTTGTTTAAATCTGATATATCACCTGTGAATGTCGACCCAGATCAGTCATGCTGACATCAGCTCAGTGCAATCCCGTGTCTGCACTATGGAACCAGCATGTCGTCAGCCGACCTTCAGCGCTTCAACCTTAACAGCATCCTCTTTGGTTCCATGCTAATCTCTTTGTTTTCCTCCTTTTTTTTTCATGCGTTCACCAGATTGTGGTGCGTTTGAAACACTGCTATGCCAAGGATGAGGAATCGGATGGAGTGGACGACATGACCAAGCTCTCCTACCTTCACGAGCCCGGCGTGCTTCACAACTTGTACCTTAGATACTCCGTCGACGAAATCTATGTACGCGACTTTGTGACACGGGACAGTCGCATGTACAGTGTGATCGGTAGTGTGCGCCATACTCGCTATGATTCGTCCAGCCGTCATCATCGTTCGTCGTTCGCTGTCGTCTCACCACCTGCTGCTCTTATGTCGACTCCGTCGTCGTCGCTTGCCACTACCGCAGCCCGCGGTAGCTTCGATCCGCATGCCACCCTTCCGCCGCTTGCGACCTCGCCTCTGCAGTTCTTTTCTCTCTCGATTCGGAGTAGCCTTCCCCTTGCTTCTTTACCGTTTCCTCTCCCGTTGCTGCTGCACTGCTTCCCTCCCGTTCCTCCCAGACATATACGGGTAGCATTCTGATCGCCATCAATCCGTTCCGCGCTCTACCGCATCTGTACGACGAGCAAATGATGGAGCAGTACAAGGGAACACGCCTGGGAGAGCTGTCGCCGCACGTCTTCGCTATTGCCGAAACCGCGTACAGGTGATTGAGTGCTGATGCTTGGCTCTGGTAGCGGGAACATGTCTGAGGAGTATCTTTCGACGTAAACGCGAGACAACCATGAAGACATGTGTTGGTCGGGGTAGCCAACGAGCAAGTCGAAAGGCGGAGACGATGTCACGAAGGCAGTTACGAAATCGGCTTTAGTCTGCCATGATGCATGACCAAGCGCACCAGCATGGGTTACGCTCTTGTAGTCAGTGGTGCTGATTCTTGATCCTTGCCATATCTCTCGCCGATTCGCATGTTTCCCGCGTGCAGAACGATGATCGACTACGGGAATAGCCAGTCGATTCTGGTGAGCGGGGAGAGCGGAGCCGGAAAGACGGAGACGACGAAGCTTATCATGCAGTACCTGGCGTACATGGGAGGACGAGCCAACTCCGACGGCAGAACCATCGAGTCCCAAGTGCTAGAGGTGAGAGAGAGGGGAACATGGTGGAATGGCTATTCTGGAAACAGAGCATGCATAGTTTCGAGGGTAGCGAAGCGACCGTTCGTCGTGTTCTTGATATCAATCAGTCTGCCTTGACATGCTCGGAGTACCTTGCTATGTTTCCTCCCTCTGGTCTGACGAAACCCATGGCTCCTGATTTCTTCTCCCTGTCCTGTACCTTGCTCTCACCAGTCGAATCCTCTTCTCGAGGCCTTCGGAAACGCCAAGACAGTGCGGAACAACAATTCCAGGTACATGCTCCTCCTGGAAACCGACCCACCGGGACCTCATCCTCCTCCCGCCCCCCCTCGCTCCCCTTCCCCCTTCCTGCACCTCTCCTTCGTATCGCCTTGCTTCACTCCCTCCATCGACTAGAATCTCCAACTATGCTTCCTCCCCGTGCTGTCCTCGACGCTGTCCCTCAACCCCCTTTCCCCTCCCGCCTCCCATTCCGCCCTCTTGTCCCCTCTCTCCCCCCTCCTTCCCCCTCCCCCCGTCCCGTACAGTCGATTCGGTAAGTTCGTGGAGATTCAGTTCGACAGGGCGGGGCGCATATCAGGCGCTGCAGTGCGGACGTACCTGCTGGAGCGGTCCCGGGTGGTGCAGGTTTCGGACCCCGAGCGCAACTACCACGCCTTCTACCAGCTGTGCGCGGGGGCGTCGGACGAGGAGAGGGAGCGGCTGAAGCTGGCGCCGGCAGAGACGTTCCATTATCTGAACCAGAGCAGCTGCTTTGAGATCCCCGGCAAGAACAGCAACGCGGAGGAGTACCAAAACACGCGGCGGGCCATGGAGGTTGTGGGGCTGACGATCGAGGAGCAGGAGGCGATTTTCCGCGTGGTGGCTGCGATTCTGCACCTGGGGAACATCACGTTTACCTCTGGTAAAGCTGCGGATTCGTCTAAGCTGCACGGGGACAAGGCGAAGTTTCACCTGGAGGCTGTGGCGGAGCTGCTGCGGGTGGAGAAGAAGAAGCTGAGGGAGTCGCTGCTGACGCGCACGCTGGTGACCAGGGACGGGAACATCAAGAGGGACCTGGATCCCGAGGCTGCGGTGGTCAGCAGGGATACGCTGGCCAAGACTGTCTACTCCCGCCTCTTTGACTGGTGCGGATCGGGTCGAGGGATGGGGGCTAGGAAGTGGAGTGGAGTACAGGGGGGTTGGGGGGAAGGATGGAAGGGGGGAAAGGGTGTGAGAGGGAGGGTGGAAGAGAGAAGAGGGGGAGAGAGAGAGAGAGATGAGCCAAGGTGAGATGAAAGTGAGGAAACGGATTGAAGTGGGTGGTCCGTGGTTGGCGCTTTTCCCCAGGGCTTCTCTCGCAGCATTGGCTACAGAAGTTACATGTGATAACCAGCTGACACGGGTTCTTTGCATGTGCTGCTGTGTGTCGTGTGGCGCACCACCTGGTGATCTGTCTGTGTATGTGTGTACCGCATGGCATGGCCCTTGTGCAGGCTGGTGGACAAGGTCAACAAGTCTATTGGTCAGGACCCAGCCTGCGCATCCATCGTTGGGGTGCTGGATATCTACGGCTTTGAGAGCTTCGAGACCAACAGGTGCGTCACTGGATCTCTGGCTGTGCCATGCTGTTGGGAGCTATAACGCGTCTAGCCATGTGACTAGATGTTCCTAGTGCAGCAACTGCACGAGTCGAGTGGCTGAGTGAGTTATCGAGTCCCTGCAGTGTGTTCGCGGTTGAAGAAACAAATTTGGTAGTTCTGTCCCTGTCTCCCCTCCCCTTTTTCTCTCCCTTCCCCTCCTTTCCCCCACCCTCGCATCTTCTCTCTCTTCCCCCTCTTGCTGGGCTTCACAGCTTTGAGCAGTTCTGCATCAATCTCGCCAATGAGAAGCTCCAGCAGCACTTTAACCAGGTGAGCTGCACTTGAACGAGGCGATCCACACTTGGAGAAACAGAAGCGAACAGTAGCAGAAACATGGAATCGGTCGCTGTAAGCATGGAATCAGGAAAGACTTTCGTAGCAGCAGGGACTATCACGTGAGTAATACATGAAGCAACACGCATGAACGGAGCTATGCTGTAGTTGTAGCTTGTATTGCATCTATTGTTCCTTATTATTCGTGGTCATTTGGCAGAACTCCATGCTCTCCCAATCCCAAGTCCCTTTTACAGGTTGTTTTTTCCTTCATATCCTCCTTCCCCCTTCAGCCTCACTCCTTTCATTTTCGTCCCCCTCCCCCCCCCTACTCCCCCTCCTCCCCCCTCTTCCCCTGCCCTCACCCCCCACACACACCACTCCCACTCCCACCTACTCCGTCACCCCTCTCGTATCCCTCAAACCAATCTCACCAGCACGTGTTCAAGGCCGAGCAAGACGAGTATGAAAGGGAGGAGATCGACTGGAGCTACATTGAGTTTGTGGACAACAAGGATGTGTTGGAACTCATTGAAAAGGTGAGCGGATCATGAACACACCGAGGGTGTGCTGTCTCCCCTCCCTCCCAACATTTCCCTCAACCTTTTCCTACACCCCCCCCCCCCCCCCCCCCAAGCCCCCCTTCTTTCGCTCTCTGTATTTCGACCCTCTTACTCTGTGTCTCCCCATCCCCCTCTGCCTCTCTTTGGCTCCCTCTTCTCGTTTCATCCTGTGCGCTGACTGTCTTCGGCCCCTCTCTGTGTCCGTGTCCGCGTTTTGCCTCCTGCAGAAGCCCATGGGTATCATCTCCCTCCTGGACGAGCAATGGTGAGCACATGCGCCTTATCACTTCTACTCCATGTGCTGCTTGCCTCCCCTCCAACCGCCTGCCCTCACTCGCCCCCCCCCCCCCCCCCTTCTCCTTATTCCCCACTCCCTCGCTCTCCCCTCCCTGTTCCCCTTTCTCTCTCGTACAAGCGCACAAACCCGCACTCCCACTCACCCACACGTTTGTTGTGCCCTGTTGCCTCCCTCTCTCCATTCCACCCTCCGCCGCGCCTTCCTCCCACTCAATACGTGTCCACCCTACAGCATGTTCCCCAAGTCCAGCGCAGAGACCTTCGCCACCAAGCTGTATCAGACGTGCGCCGCGCACTCGCGCTTTGAGAAGCCCAAACTCTCGCAGACGGACTTCACGATCGATCACTATGCTGGCAAGGTGGGTGTGAACCATTGCTTGAGCCAGGGACAGCGCTCCCCTGTTCTTCTTCTCCCTGATGTGTGGCTTCAGGATCCCGAGCCGTCGCAGGCCCTATGGTTGCTGGTGAAGTAGGCCTCATGCTCATGTGTTCCTGCCTCACTCGGGGTATTTCCCACTTTGTATTCTTCTAGCTCTTGCGCTAAGTGGTGATTGTGCACCTGTTGAGTGCGCCTCCTATGCCTCCATCCCATCCTCCCTCCCATCCTTCCATTCTCCTCCCCTGTCCGTCACTTTCCTCCCCTGTCCGTCACTTTCCTCCCCTGTCCGTCACTTTCCTCCCCTGTCCGTCACTTTCCTCCCCTGTCCGTCACTTTCTTACCCTGTCCGTCTACCCTCGTGCTGCTCATCCACCCTCCCACCTAGTGACGTACCGGCCGTTTCTGTTGGAGCACAAGGACGATGTGGTGATGGAGCACCAGGCACAGTCACTGAGTGCGTGCGCGTCGCATTATGTCTTCTCTCTTCTCCGCTCCCTCTTCCCCCCACCAGGTGACGTACCAGACGGACCTGTTCCTGGACAAGAACAAGGACTACGTGGTGATGGAGCATCAGGAGCTGATGAACCACTCCAAGTGCTCCTTTGTGTCGGGGCTCTTCCCCGTGGGCGAGGGCGAGAACGTGAAGACCAAGTTCACGTCGCTGGGCTCCAGCTTCAAGCAGCAGCTGGCGGACCTCATGAACACGCTCAGCACCACGGAGCCGCACTACGTGCGCTGCGTCAAGCCCAACAGTCTCAACAGGCCGGGCGCGTTTGAGAACCACAATGTGCTGCAGCAGCTCAGATGCGGAGTGAGTGGCTTGTCTTTCTTCTTTTTTTAGTAAATCTGTTGCCATGTCACTCGTCGCTCTCCCTCACTTCCTCCCTGGCCCTTCTTCTTATCCTCCTGGCCTACTTTCAGACTGCCACCCTTCCACTTTCCTTTCTCGTCCTGCGTTTCTAGCATGTTATGGAACTCCACTTGTACATTTCGGTTGTGTGTGTTCTGTTTGGATGAACTGTGCGAGTCACACTTCTGGCCCTTTCAACTATAGCCATCATTCTTCCTCGCCCTCCTCTCCCCGTCTTCCCCCTCGCCCCCCGCCGGCCAACAGGGAGTGCTGGAGGCTATTCGCATCAGCTGTGCGGGCTACCCCACCCGCCGCACCTTTGAGGAATTCCTAGATCGCTTTTCCATGCTGGCCCCCGACCTGGAGTATGACAGGTAAGAGAGTATGAGGGCGTGTAGGACCTAGCAGCACGAGACCCTTCTCCACTGCCTCTTTTTCTTTCCCACATGCACTCTCGTCCTGCTCCGTCAAGTGTTGACATCCTCCATCCATCTGACAACCCCCCAAATCTCACGCCAACGCCTGCCTGCCCGCACGCAGTGAGATCAAGGTGACAACGAAGCAGCTGCTGGAGAAGCTGGGGCTGACGGGGTTCCAGGTGGGCAAGAGCAAGGTGTTTCTGCGCGCGGGGCAGATGGCTGACCTTGACGCCATGCGCGCCAACAAGCTGCACTCAGCCGTGCGCGTCATCCAGCGCTGCGTCCGCACGTGGCTTGCAAGGAGGCAGTTTGTCGCCCTCCGCAAGGCCGCCATCCGTATGCAGGCGCGGTGCCGAGGTGAGCAGGCGGTGCTGTGGTGTGGTGCTCGTGATGCGTGTGGTGGTTATGGTGATGGCAGTTGGCGGTGCGGAATGTGGGGATAGGATGTGGCGGATGATGGGCTTGTTCATGCGAAATGGTCGAGGGGAGGTTCTGGCTAGAAAGCTGCCTAGCTGGTCAACCTCTTGCCCTTGCCGCTCCCTTCCCAGTGTCCAGTATCCAGTGTTCGGCTGCTGCGTTATCTAGTATCTAGTGTCCTGCCTTAACTGTTGTCCCATCCATTCCGCCTGTCCGAGCGCCCTCTATGTGTCCCCCATGGTGCGCACAGGCAACGCAGCGAGGAGGGAGTACCAGAAGCTCCGCAGGGAGCAGGCAGCGCTGGTCATTCAGACGAAGTACAGAGGGCACCGGGCGCGCGCGCACTACAAGCGGCAGCAGAAGGCGGCTGTCACCATGCAGTCCGCGGCCCGCGGCATGTTTGCACGGCGCGAGGCGTCCGCTCGCAGGCGCAACCTGGCTGCCAGGAAGATTCAGGTATGGAGGGAGGAGTTCTGGTGAGTGTTGTGGGTGGAGAGGTGGAGGTCAGCGAGATGGATTGAAAGGGGGGCAGAACTGATATGGAATGAGAGGGAGCACATTGTCAGGTGCAATCTGGCTGCTTGTGAGAGGATACGATTCTGACGCGGGGGAAAACGAAATTTGCGGGGTGGGGTTGTAAACATTCGAAATGGCGGGGTGAGGGGGAATGAATTTACGGGGGTGGGGGAGGGGAATAACATTTCGAGCTGCGGGAAAACGAAATGGCGTGGGTGTGGGGAACGAAATTGCGGGGCGGGGGTAGGTGGTAGGATCGCAAGCATGTGGGATTTGTAGTACACAAATCCCACATGTTGGGCGTCAGATTGTTTACACTGCACCGGGGGACGATGTGCAATTTTCTTCGGTGAGGTTACGCAGTAATCCACGTCCCAATGTTAATAATCTGAAAAAATAAGCAGGGAATGTGTACCGCGGCTTTAAGTGTCGTTCCCTGACCCAATGCCGAACTGCTTACTCCTTTGCCCTCCAACTTCTCCTTTCCTTTACTTCTGAGTTTTCACATCAAATATACTGAGTAGTGCCCTTCCCTCCCTTAATCTAACTTGTGAGTCTTCTGTATTCCCTCCTCCCTTCCTCCCCTCTCTCCCCCCCACCTTGCCCCCACACTATGTGCTGTGTTTGTGCACTCATCCCACTCAGACGCACTGGCGGCGGCACAAGGCGCAGTCAGCGTATCGTCGCACCAAGCGCAGCGTGCTGGTCATGCAGTGCATATGGCGCGGCAGGGCTGGCCGCCTGGAGCTCAAGAAGCTCAAGCATGTAAGTACCTGCTGCTCTTGCTGCTTGTTTCGATGGCTGGCTGCTACTGTTTGTTGTTTTGGTGGTGGTGAGTATGGCGACTCCATAATGTCCTCTGCACACCCGCATACCTCCTGTGTCCTCGTTTATCGTCTCTCTTCCCCTTTTTTCCACCCTTTTTTTTTCCAGCTTCTCGCTTTCTCTACTTTCACTACTTAGTGTGTCCTACTGCCGCCCTCCATGCATCTAACCCCTGACATCCTCCTGTCCCGTCCCCTCCTTCTCCCCTTCTGGATCCTCATCCCCACTCTTTGGTGTCTCACAGGACGCGAAGCAGACGGGAGCGCTGCAGGAGGCCAAGTCGCGGCTGGAGAAGCAGCTGGAGGAGCTCACCTGGCGGCTGCAGCTCGAGAAGAGAATGCGGGTGGGTGTATGGGAAAGAGGGTGGGAGTAGGGGAGGATGGGTTACTGAAAATGAGGGTGTCTCTCACGCACTTCTGTTTGCACTCTCTGGCGCATTACTGTGCGTGCCCCTGCACTCCATGTTCTCCTCTTTGTCTCTTCCCTCTTCCCTGTATATCCAAGTTTCGAATGTCTAAGAAGTTTCTGAAATTTATGTGCCTCTCCTTGGCTGTTTTCCCATCCCTCCCCTTCTCCTTCTCCTTCTCCGTCCCATGCCCCCCTCTCTCTCCCCCAGTCTGACCTGGAGGAGTCCAAGGGCCAGGAGGTGTCGAAGCTGCAGCAGGAGGTAGACCGCCTCACTACAGAGCTGCAAGCAGCCAAGGACGAGATACAGTCCCTGCAGCAGCAGCTGGCAGCTGGCGGGGGTGGGGGTGGGGGGGCAGAGAGCAACGAGCCTGTGATCAAGACGGTTGTTAGGGAGGTGGTGAAGGTGGTTGAAGTGCCTGTGCCAGCGGCAGCGGTCGGGGCAACAGCCTCAGGGACTGAGAAGCTGGAGGGTCGTGAGGCTGCTGCTGCTGCTGTTGCAGCCGCCGCCGCTGCTGCTGCTGCTGCAGCGACGACAACTGCATCTGCAGTAGAAGCATCTGCTGCCGCTGCTGCCGGTGCCAGTGCCGGTGCTGGCGCAGTGGTTGTGGTGGCAGGCACAGGGGAGGCGGGCAGGACGGCAGAGGGGCTTGAGAACGAGAAGCTCAAGGCGGCACTAGACGTGTCGGACTCGCGCGTGGCAGCCATGGAGGAGATGATAGTGCACAAGGACGAGAAGCTGCAGGAGCTCGAATCCGAACTGGCAAAGATGAAGGGCGAGCTGCAGCGCCTGGAGGACCAGTTCAGGAGCATGGACCGCGAGAACCAGGTGCTCCGGCGCCAGTCGCTGTCTGTGGCCACGGCAGCGCAGACCACGCCGCAGCGCGCTCCTGCTGCTGGGCGGCTGTCGGCGCTGTGGGGGGGTTCGGCTGTGACCCCGTCCACGCCCAGTGGTGCTGGGTATGAGATGACGCCCGGCACGCCTGGCAGCGCTGCTGCTGCTGCTGCTGCGGCTGCTCGTGGGGCCACGCAGGAGGCGGAGGTGAAGAGGCAGCAGATCCTGGCTGAGAGGCAGCAGGTGAGCTGGGGGGGATTAGACGAGGTGTTTTGGTGGTGCCTGTTTAGTAGAGGGACTTTGCATGCTCGTGCTCTTTATTCTGATGCTGTGCTCAGCTTTCTGTTTGCTGTGCCCTGTTTCTTTTGTGTTTATCTTCCATCTCCTTCCTCCTGTCTCTGCCACCCCTCTCTGTCCCGCACCCCTGCGCCTCTGCTCCCCCCTGTGTGCTCCCCGCAGGCGGATCAGGACACGGTGCTGCAGCTGCTGCTCACCGACCTGGCGTTTGACAACAACCGCCCCGTGGCGGCATGCATGCTGTACCGCGCGCTCGTGCACTGGCGCTCCTTCGACGCCGAGCAGACCAACGTGTTTGACAAGATCATCCAGACCATGAGCTCCGCCATTGAGAACCACGACCCCGCTCCTGCTGCTGGTGGTGCTGCGGGTGCTGTTGTGCCACTGCCAGCGGCCGCGGGGAGTGGAGGGGCAGCGGGGGGTGCGGCGGGGAATGCTGCGAGGCTGGCGTACTGGCTGTCGACTGCGTCGTCGCTGCTGCACCTGCTGCACCGGTCGTTCCGGCCGGGGGCCGCGTCCGCGCTGCAGATGCACGCGCAGCGCAGGAGGCAGCAGCCTGTGTCCCTGTTCAGCCGCATGTCTCAGGTGCGCTTGAGAGGGTATGGGGATTGGGCGATGGCAATTTGGTGAGAGGGTGGGGAAGGGGGGGGTGGGGGGTGGAGATGAGGGGGGATGAGGGGGCGTGAGGGGGGATGAAGGGGGAACGATGGGGGATAAGTAGAGGGGAGAGGAGGAAGTGGGGGTGCAGTGAGGGATGGCTTTGGGTTGAATCCAGTTTGTTATCGACTTGTAGGATTACATACGCCTAACCCACTGTCCTTGATCTACGTGTCTTCTCTCCTTCCACCATCCCATCGTCTGCCTCTCGTCGCCTAGTCCACCTTCCTCTCTAATCCTTCACTTCCGCTCTTATGGTCCATTCCCCATGCCCACACAGCCCCCCGCCCCCCCTGCTCTTCCCTGCAGGCACTCTGGGCCAGTGACGCCGTCGCAGTTAGAGATGACAGCAGCAGTTGATTGTCAAGTCGACTAAAAAACCTTTCCCCATGCCCGCACATCCCCGCTTCCCCCCCTTCTTCCCTGCAGACGTTCCGTGGGCCGGTGACGTTGTCACCGGACGAGACGAGCGCAGCGGAGGCGGACGGGCTGCACCTGGTGGACCCCAAGTTCCCCGCGTTGCTGTTCAAGCAGCAGCTCACGGCGTACGTGGAGAAGGTGTACTCGTGCATCCGCGACAACCTCAAGAAGGACATCTCGCAGATGCTTGTCGCATGCATCCAGGTACGAGTGTGTGTGTGTACGAGTGTGTGTGGGGGGGGTGGATGTTTTGAGGCGTCTCAAAGGAACGTGTACTCGTGCATCTGCAGCGACCTCAAGAAGGACATCTCGCAGATGCTTGTCGCCTGCATCCAGGTGCGTACGGGTGTGTGGGAAGGAGGGGGGAGGGGGAGGGGGGAGATGACTTCCTGTGAAGCCTCTGGGGAAACCAAGCGTGTGCAGATTGCATGTGTGCATTTCCCCGTCTGTCTCCTGTATCTATGGCAGGCTTAAGGGTTTCACGGTTCTGCTCCCTTCAACCGTCTCCTGTCTTCCACTCCCTCCACAATCCATCCCCTCCTATCCTCTCCCCCTCCAGGCCTCTCGATCCTTCCGTACGCCCATGGCGCCACGGCAGCAGCACCGCTCGTCGCCTGACGGGGCGCGGGCGGCAGCAGCGCAGAGCCAGGCGGCGTCGGTGGCAGCGGCGGTGGCGCAGTGGGGTGGGATCATCGCACGGCTGACGGACCTTCTGAACACACTCAAGGCCAACCACGTGCCGGCCTTCCTCGTGCGCAGCCTCTTCTCGCAGATCTTTGCCTACATCAACGTGCAGCTCTTCAACAGGTGCGCGCGAGAGTGAGCGCATGTGTGAGGGAGGAAAGGGGCTTTCGTCAGTGTGAGGGAGAAAAAGGGGATGGGGGATGGAGGATGGGGAGTGGGGGCGGTGGGTATGGGTGTGGGTGTGCATGTGCTACCTAATATTGACAATTGTGTGTTCCCACCACCGAGGTGCTTTCTCTGCCTAATCGTCTTTGCACGTCAACCTCCCAAACCCCCCACTTTCCCCCCCACTTTTCCCCCATTCTGCTGCTGCGTCGTGAGTGCTGCTCGTTCAGCAATGGCGAGTACGTGAAGGAGGGAGCTGGGCCACTCAAAGCTACATTCGCTCATCACATATCCCATCTCCCCACCTCCCCTTGCCCTGCCCTCCCCCCCCCCCCCAGTCTGCTGCTGCGTCGCGAGTGCTGCTCGTTCAGCAACGGCGAGTATGTGAAGGAGGGCCTGGCGGAGCTGGAGCGCTGGATCTTTGAGGCCACGGACGAGTATGCAGGCAGTGCGTGGGAGGAGCTCCGGTTCATTCGCCAGGCTGTCGGTTTCCTGGTAAGTGCCCCTTGCTGCTGCTGTGGAGTGTGCGGCACTTACTGCTGATGCTGTTGCTAATCTGACTGCTGCTTCTCAGCGCGTCGTGTTTCTTTTCCAGCCAGCCACACTTATCGCTCCATCCGTTCCCTTCTTCCGCTCTTGGATTTTATTCCCCCTCACCTTCTTCACCCTCCCCTCGTCGATTGTTTCCTGCGTGCAGGTGATCCATCAGAAGCCCAAGAAGTCCCTGGAGGACATCACCAACGACCTGTGCCCCGCGCTGAGCATGCAGCAGCTGTACCGCATCAGCACCATGTACCGCGACGACAAGTATGGTACCCATTCTGTGGCGCCCGCAGTCGTCAATGCAATGCGCCTGAAGAGCACAGAGGAGTCCGCTCAGAACGGCACCAACTCGTTCCTGCTGGACGACGACTCCTCGTGAGTGCCGCTGCTGCCGCCACTGCCGCTGCTGCTGCCATGGTTTTTTGTTGTTGTTGTTGTTGTTTTTGTTTTTTTGTTTTCCAAGCTGACTCGTTTTCCAATCTCTCGTTTTCCAAGCTGACTGTCTCCCCCCTCCACCCTGCCTCCAGTGTTTCCTGCTTCTGGCCTCTCATCATCCCCCACTCCCTCCCCCCTCCCCCACCCCTCACCCCTCACCCCCATCCCAACCTCCCCCTTCTCTATCCCCACCCTGTCCCACCCAACCCGTTGGTTGCACATGGCAGTGTCCCATTTGCTGTGGATGACATATGCAAGGAGCTCCCCAGCATCTCCCTCACCCACCTCTCCCTGCCCCCCCACGTCCGCGACTCGGGTCACCTTCACTTCCTCTTCTCGTAGAACACTGCCTCCTCAGCAGCAGCAGCAGCAGCAGCAGCCAGTTCTTAGGTACGTTCGCAGGAGTAGCACCGACAGTGGGAGAGGGGTCCATTCTCTGGTAGTGTTTAGGAGACTTGTCAGCTGCTACGTGAGGCGGGAGTCTGCAGCATAATGCTATACATGTGCTTCTGTTTGGTGATTCGCTGTAGCAGATAGTGTAGGGCATGTGACAATGCATCTCATCAGGCAGCCAGAGTTGCATCATGGGCACGGCACGCACGGCATGGAGCAAGTAGCATGGCCGGCAGCATCAGGCACCTGAGGCCAGGACATTCACAAGAAGTTAAGATGGTTGGGCTGGTTGGGTTTCTACCTGAGACCTGATTGTTCTCACAGTTCTTTCAGGGTGGCAATGCTGCCGTCTGTTGCTTGGTTTCGTCGGGGTTTACATGGTGATACGCTAGGTAGACTGGGCTGATCTGGGTTGTCAGGTGTTATCGTGTACAAACCAAGCACAGGTGATAGAGATACAGTTGAGAGTCTTGATTGGTGTAATTGAGAAAGCTTGCTTGTTAGTGCAATTGACATCATTCTCATTTCACTGGGTGACAGCGCCGACGCAAGGATCTAGAATGTTGAGCAGGAGACAACGCCTGTACCTCACGGAAGGCCGACACTAGTTCGACGGCAGCGGGCGTTACGTACATCTCTTTCGCCTTGTCACTGCGCCATCTGCCAAGACATTTGAAAAGCCAGTTCGCTACGCCTCCATGGTGGTGACAGTAGCGGCACCTTTGCGGAACGAGTGGGTGCCGAGATGGTGTTCGCCGAGGCCAATGGTGTGAAATGCCTCCTTGCACCAGTTGCGCATTGTGGTGTATGATGGTGACGGTGCCACGTGATGCAGTCCTGAACACTCGGATTAAGGGTCTCGGGGTGCTGGGTTTGTAGCCCGCCAAACGGATGAAGCGCTTGGTGCACCACACAGGGCAAAGGGTCTCAGAGTAAGAAGTGTTGACTAGAATAAGAGCATACCAAGGTATATAGCTAATGGGTTGTACTCTCTATGGCAAGCTCCTATGTAGTCTACTAAACATACACAAATATGTTTGACAAACCCCCTAGACTAGATAGGGGCAGAGCCTGGTGAGAGACAAACAGCTCAGGGCGGCACTACCGTAAAAGCCCGGATATAAGACTCATGGGTCTTATCACATACGGCATAAAAAAAAAAGGCAGGGTGTCTTATAAATGGAAGAAAGTAGGGTGTTGGTGTCAAACATGTTTAGTTATCATGCTTGTATAGACTGTATAGGGTCATCTTCTAGAGAGTACAACTGTTAGGTATATGTTTGTGTACTCTCTCTCTCTCAATCATTAATTTCACTGTTTGATATGGTATCACGCGTAGGTAGGATCCCCCCCACCCCCCCCCTCACGCTTCCGCTCGCCCCCTGGCTGGGCCCCGTCGTGCTCCTAGCCCCGTCGCGACCCTCCCTCGCCCCGTCGCGACCCTCCCTAGCCCCGTTGCGCCCCTTCCTGGGCCCCGTTGCGCCCCTTTCTGGGCCCCGTAGCGCCCCTCCAGGGCCCCGTCGCGCTCCTCCCAGGCTTCGTAGCGCCCCTCCAGGCCCCGTCGCGCCCCTTCCAGGGCTTCGTAGTGCCCCTCCAGGCCCCGTCGCGCCCCTTCCAGGGCCTGGTAGCGCCCCTCCAGGGCCCCGTCGCGCTCCTCCCAGGCCCCGTAGCGCCCCTCCTGGGCCCCATTGCGCTCCTCCCAGGCCCCGTCGCGCCCCTCCCTAGCCCAGTCGCGCTCCTCCCAGGCCCCGGTAGCGCCCCTCCTGGGCCCCATTGCGCTCCCCCCAGGCCCCGTCGCGCCCCTACCTGGGCTTGGTCGCGCCCCTCCAGGCCCCGTCGCGCCCCTCCCCAGCCCCGTCGCGCCCCTCCCAAGCCCCGTCGCGCCCCTCCAAGGCCCCCCCTCGCGCCCCTCCCAGGGCCCGTAGCGCCCCTCCTGGGCTCGTAGCGCCCCTCCTGGGCCCGTAGCGCCCCTCCTGGGCCCGTAGCGACCCTCCTGGGCCCCGTCGAGCCCCTCCTGGGCCCCGTCGCCGCTGCCCGGCCCCTGTCGCCCTGCCCGGCCCCTGCTCGCCCGCCCGGCCCCGTCGCCCCTGCCCGGCCCTGCTGTGTCCTGCCCGGGCCCCGTCCCTGCCGCCCGACCTTGTCGCTGCCGCCCGGCCCCGTCGCCCCTGCCCGGCCCTGCTGTGTCCTGCCCGGCCCCGTCCCTGCCGCCCGGCCCCGTCGCAGCCGCCCGGCCCCGTCGCAGCCGCCCGGCCACGTCGCAGCCGCCCGGCCTTGTCGCTGCCGCCCGGCCCCGTCGCCGCCGCCCGGCCCCGTCGCAGCCGCCCGGCCCCGTCGCCGCCGCCCGGCCTTGTCGTGCCTGCCCGGCCCTGACGCGCCTGCCCCGGCCCTCCATACTTCCTGGTACTGTCCCCCGTTCCCCGCACCACTTTGCACCCTCCTTCACTTTCCTGCCCCGCCTTGCACCGCATTGCACCTCACTGGACCGCACCGCCCGCACTGCACCGCACTGGACCGTACTGCACCGCACTGCATCGCACTGCACCGCACTGCATTGCACTGCACTGTCCTCCACTGCCCCTCATGGCTGCTGAGCTTCGTTTTGATGCTGAGGGTCAGCCTCTGGAGTTCGAGGCGTGGTTGGCTGACCTTCGCCGCCACCTCACTGGCCAGCGGCAGGACGCCACCCGCTTTCTGCACACCTAGACGGTATGCTCCCCTGCCCTGACCCCCCTGCTGTGCTGCCCGCTGATCCCACGCCCGCTGAGCGCGAGTCCACTGCCGCTGCTGCCCTTGCCCGCTCTGTCTGGCTTTCCCGCGATGCCCTTGCTCAGCTCGCCATTAGCAATGCCCTCCCCCCCCCTGAGCGCCCTCGCTTTAGAACCATTACTACCGCCCAGGCCTACCTTGATGCTGTCATCAAGCGCTATTCTACCCCTCCTGCTGCCTCAGTGGGTCGCCTGATCCTCCCCCTGCTCTTTCCTGACCTGGCGTCTTTCCCCACTGTCTCTGACCTCGCTGCCCACCTGCGCTCGATCGATGAGGCCTGGCGCGCTGCCTGCACTGATGCACAGCTTAGAGTCCACCAGCCTCCCATGACCTCCACCCTCTACCTCCTTGCCACCCGCCTCCCTGACCGCCTTGCCGCCGCCCGCGACCAGTTCCTTAGCATCCATCCTGCTGCTCTCACCCTCACCGACTTTGTTGACACCCTGACTGCCATAGAGACTCGTCACCGCTCCATAGCCCAGGCGAGCGGTACAGTACCGGTCCCTATCTTTCAGGGTTGTGCCCCCGCTCAGTGTACCTTCTCCGACGGCTCTGTCGCTGTGGCTGAGACTGCTGCTGCAGTGCAGTCCCGCTCGGCGAAGGGCCGCCGCCCCAAGGTTGGGAGCGGCGGAGGCGGCGGGGGTGCGGGTGGGGGTAGTGGTGGAGGCGGGTCGTCCGGTGCCGGTGCGGACGTGGGGACCCTGCCCGGTCCAGCTGCCCCGCTGCCTCCACCGTTGCAGCAGCAGCAGTCGCCGCAGCCGCAGCCTCCGCAGCAGCCGCAGCAGCCGCCGCAGACGAGGCCGGCGAGTGCGCTCCCGCCTGGGTGGCCTGGAGCTGCTGGTGGTCGTGCGCGTGGTGGTGCACCGGGTGGTGGCTCTGGAGGCGGGCCCTGTCAGTACCAGATCCAGACCGGTCCTCGCCGCGGCTTCGTTTGCGGTAAGATCGGTCATTCTACTCCTCGCTGTTTTCGTCGTCTGGACGACCTGTTCCGCCAGCGATTTGGCCCGGCGCCCGACCTCCCGGACTGGCACAGCTTGCTTAGGCGTAGCATTAGGATTTTTGACTTGGACATGGATGCCATTGTAGCAGCCTTGCATGTGATGTATGCTGATGACTCTAGTGTGCTTCCCTCTTATTACCCCGTGTTGCCTAGTGTAGCGGTGCCTAGCGTAGACTCCCTGCTGCGTCAGGCGTAGGATCTCCTGCTTTGCTTAGCCTTGGTGCTTCCACCGCTTCACTGCCGCCTCACGCGACTGCTGCGCTTTCCTTCACCTTGGACTCTGGCGCCTCCCGGTGTTTCTTCCGCGACTCCACGACGCTGACGCCGCTGCCTGTTCCCGCTGCCGTTACTCTTGCTGACCCCTCCAGTGGTCCCGTTGTTGCCCGCAGTTCCACCTCCCTTCCCTGTCCGGCGGTTCCTTCAGGTTCGCTCACCGGTCTGCATATCCCCTCGTTCTCCAGGAACCTAGTTGGTGTCGGCTGCCTCCAGGACCTTGGCGTCACCACTACGTTCCCTGGTCACGAGCGGTATGCTGTCTGTACCGAGGCCGCCACTGGTGCCCCCCTTACCACTTTCCCCCGGGACCCGGTGTCCGGCCTGTTCACACTTGACACCGCGACGTCCCCGGCTGGGTCTTCCCCCCCGGTAGCTGCGTCCACCCAGGTTGCTGCCGCGTGCTCCTGTCGGTCCCTCACTCACCCGACTCTCCTTTGGCACCACCGCCTTGGTCACCCTGCACTCCCACGTCTGCGTCACATGTCCCAGCACGGTCTCGTCCTTGGTCTCCCCGGTTCGTTCCCCGAGTTTCCCTCCTCCCCCGCCCCACCGTGCACGCCTTGTGTCGAGGGCCGGCTCCGCCGTGCCCCTCACTCCTCCTCTTTTCCCCCTACCACCGCACCACTGCAGACTCTGCACATGGACGTCTGGGGCCCAGCCCCGGTCCATGGGCCGCGTCGCGAGCGCTTCTTCCTAGTGCTTGTCGACGACTTCACGCGCTACACCACCGTCTTCCCCCTGGAGCGGAAGGCCGACGTGCCTGACGTTCTCATCCCCTGGCTTGTCTCTGCTCGTGTCCA